ATAAATAAATAAATAAGCGTGCCTTGTGCGGCCGGAAATCCGTTTCCCGCTCCACTTCCACGGTTGCCCCAAGGTGGCGCGGCGGACGGCTTTAGCCGTGACGCCCATTCTCCCTTGAACCTGACAGGAAGTGAAGCGCCTTCGAAGAGGGCAGCGGGGAAGGGGTTTGGGGGTGCACATTTCCTGTTTCCTAGCAACAAAAGGAAGTATTTGTTGTTGCCCTAGCCTCGGCCGGAAATCCGTTTCCCGCTCCACTTCCACGGTTGCCCCAAGGTGGCGCGGCGGACGGCTTTAGCCGTGACGCCCATTCTCCCTTGAACCTGACAGGAAGTGAAGCGCCTTCGAAGAGGGCAGCGGGGAAGGGGTTTGGGGGTGCACATTTCCTGTTTCCTAGCAACAAAAGGAAGTATTTGTTGTTGCCCTAGCCTCTGTGACTTCTTCCCAAGCGAAGCCTTGGCTCTCAAGGGAGAAGGTTTCGGGGGGTCGCCTTCCCCGTCGGGCGGGACCCCTCAGGGAGAGCGAAGGGGCGTCTGAGGAGCCTGCCTTCGCTCTGTGGGGCGCCGGAGGCGCTGAAAGGGGGAAAAAGGGTTGGGCACCCCGAGTTTTCCCTCCCACGTTATGTTTTCCTTCTTTCGCTGGAACCCATTAACTCGTTGCGCTCCAGGAGGAGGAGGAGGAAGAGAGGATTCCGGTCGATCTCTTTCCCAGGAAACCGAGGCATCGCTGGGGGATCTCTCCGCTACCTCATGGCTGGACCCTAAGTGGACTCTGGAGTTCTTCTTCTGCCCCATCTCCGAGGATGGGATCTCCCCCAAACTTGGCACACATGGCTTGTTACCTCAGGTCTCCACTCTGAAATCCGCATCTCGGGTTTTGTGGCCCTCTTCCCTCCACGAAGTATGGTTTCCTCTCCTGGAGTGTGGTCACTGCCTCTCCTGGCATCCTTTTAACTCCAGGTTCGCCTTTCTGGCTTGGATGCCTTAGAAGTCCTGCTACCCCGAAAAACTGTACTGTAGCCGGTCTCCGTTTTCGCCCTTGGGTGATCCGAGCGTCGCCTCTCCCCAAAGCACTGCCTTCCTTTCGGAGTCTGAGATTTGAAACACTTATGAGAGAATGTTTTGAATTCTCTCCCTGGATGCCTCCACTACTTGAACATATTTGAGATCAGAGTCTGAATTCTTTTGCATTTTAACTTTTTTTTTTAAATTCAGGCCTGTTTGTGAAGCTCACCTGGAATTTGCCTGAACCTAAACTTTTGAGATCCTAATTCCACTTTCTTTTCACACTCAGGGTCCTTCTGTTTAGACGGGTGTTTTTTTAATTATTATTATTATGTTATGAACTTATGGCAGGACTGTAAAGAATCTTCTGGATCCCGCTACCCCCTTTTAACAGAAAATCTAGACTACCTACTTAGTGGCTTGAACTCTGGAATAACTTTTCCCAACTTGGGAAAGTCACTACGCCCTGCCCCATCTTCCCCATTTTGTGTGTCCTGGTTTTTGTTTGTGTGTGTTTTTTTTAACTGACTCGGCATGCCTGCTTTTGGTGGAAAAAAGTCCAAGTTAGAGAAGTTTTGCCCTTACAAGGGATGGTCAGCATGATCTGGAGGTAAGAAGGTAACATTCTTTTCATTTGCATTTAGAAGCCTACACTGTAATCTTTATGCTATGTGTGCTTGTTTATACAGAAACAGACCATATATCTTTATGTCGTCTGTTGAAGAGACAGTTTTCCCCTTGAAGTGCTCTAGTGGGCCTCAGAGCACAATGGCCATTTTCAGGAGTGCAAAAATAGGGGTCATTTTGTTATGTGTGGGAAAGCCTCTCTACGGTATCATCATCATATGCCGTCAAGTTAATTCTGATTTATGGCAGCTTTTTTCAGGGTTTTCTAGGCAAAGAATGGTTCACCATTTTCTTCTGAAGGCATCCTGGGACTACGCAGCTTGCCCAAGGCTAGACAGGTCAGCTTCTCTGGTATGCAGACTGGGGGAACTGGACTCTTTACCCCTGACTCCACAGCAAGATACCTAACTCACTGAGCTATCCAGGCAGCCTAGACTCTATACCCTGTTACCTTCCATAAATTAGAATAAAACCCAAAATATTTGGTCTCCATGCCCTTTTTTTCTGAACTTGTTTCATTTCATCACACTATGAGAAATCAACTCTGTCTACACCCCAGATCACCAAACTACCTCTTTCTGACCCAAACCCCTGCCATTTTAAGGACTTTCCTGCTTATCTCTGCTGTGATTTAAGGTAGAGGTGCTCAGCTTTTAACCCTGAAGGGTTAGGCAGCTTTTAGCCTGAACTTGCATAGTAAATTTCAGAGAATTATGGGAATTACTATCCAGAACATCAGAATGTTGAAGGATTGGCTGCTCCCCTGTGAGTGTTGGGGGAAAAAAGCTGTGAGAACAAACCTCATAATAAATCAGATACACCTCTGGCCTCCAAATCCCCCCTGCCTCCATTCACTAGACATCACTTCTGCTTCTCAGAAGTTCAGACTTCATTGTTTCAAGATTTGATGTCGTTTAGTCATTAAGTCGTGTCCAACTCTTCGTGACCCCATGGACCAGAGCACTCAAAGCCCTCCTGTCTTCCACTGCCCCACACAGTTTGGTCAAATTCATGTTGGTAACTTCAATGATACTGTCCAACCATCTCATCCTTTGTCATCCCCTTCTCTTGCCTTCACACTTTCCCAACATCAGGGGCTTTTCCAGGGAGTCTTCTCTTCTCATGAGATGGCCATAGTATTGGAGCCTCAGATTTAAAATTGATAGCATGAATTCTTCATTGTTTTCATTCTTACACCAGTTCTCTGAGGTAGGTCATTTTAGGAGGGTTGGTACGGGCCAAATATTGACCTCAGCTAGGGAATCTATTTGGCTCCTCTTACTTTTTCAGAATTGTGTTTTGGTGAAAAGTGAGAACAGGAGCCAGGAAGTTGTGGAGTTTAGGCAGATCTGAACATCCTGAATGGATTTCAGTGAAATATCCAACTTTATAGCTTTGGGCATTTAATATTACACTCTTCTCTCAAGAACCATGGTGGGACATCATCAGCCTTGTTATGGCAGAAAGGCTTGGATGATCTTGGCTCCTCAGTGCAAATGCAATGCTTGTATCAAAAAAACCCAAACTTGTTTTATTTATTTATTGCAGATTTATGCTGCCTTTCTCCTAATGTAAGAGCTCGGAGAGGCTCAAGTATGGTTAAGAAAAACAGGACTTTTAAAACAAAATGTTCAAGCAATTAAAAGGCAATTAAACATGGTGATGTTAACCAGAGATGGGCACAAAGCACGATGAAGCACTTTGTATGTAGCTGTCGGTGTTGTACCACAGGTGCAGTGCTGGCCCATCTCCCACCTATTCCAGCTGGCTGGCCCACTCACTGTTCTTTGCACACTGCTGGAATCCTCCTTCTCTGGCTGCACTTCAATCCAGGCAGGAGTTCATCTGGTCCATCCCTGCCTCCTCAGGAGGCCAACCACTCCAATGAGGAGGCGGGACAGGAATTCTCCCTGTGTAGTCAAAGAGTGGTCAGCTGCCAGGGGAGGCGGGGACAGAGCAGCTGAGCTTCTGCCTGGATTGTAGTTCTGTCGGAAAAGAAGGGCTCCAGTACGTGAAGAATGGTGAGTGGGCCAGCCAAAGGAGGAGGGGGAGATAGGCCAACCCAGCACCTATGGTGCCGTGCTGACAGCTACATACAAAGCGCTCAATTGCACTTTGTGTCCATGTCTACTTAAAATAGTGGAAGAACTTTAAAACATTACAAATGCTTTGAAAAGGATACAAACGCAACAACCATATGGTATCTATGGTATCTGGGTGCTTCATCCAGGCAGCCGCAGTGGGGGAGGCGTAGAGCAGCTTGGTTCCTGATAGTGGTGGTTTCTTCTGGGCCTTAGGCATGCTAATTTGGTGGTGGTTGGATGATTGCGAAGGAGCATCCATCCTGCGTGGGGACAGGAGGAGTTTTTGGGTCCACGTGCAGCAACCCGTTGTCTTTTAATTCAGAGAGGGGGAAAAAGGGAAATGAAAACTAGCCTTGGTGGGTTGGTGGCCAAACATGCTGGGAGTTGAAGTTGCTAATCCTAGCATAATAGGAACTGGAGCGGATGGCCGTTCTAAAGCTGAGCCACTGTAGGGTCATCTGTGGGTGAGAGACTGCGTGAGAAAGGCTGTCCAGCATGGAATGAAGCTGAAGGAGGTCTGGGAGGAGAAGAAGGAGCTGGGAGAAAAAAAGGAGACACAGCTCAGCATCCACAGAGGTCTGAGTGTTTACCAGATTAAAGATCCAGGCAGGTCTGAGCTGCATCCAGGTAACCTCACCCCCCCACACACACACACACATACCAGCATCATGATGGCCAGTCGACATGGGGCCTGAGTGAGTCTGGGAGATGGAGTCCCCAAAAGGAAAATATCCCAAGTTCTAGAAGCACCTTTAGACACTACCTGGGGTGGGGATGGAGCCTTGGGAGTCTCTTCCTTCCGCATGGCCTCTAGTGCTTTCCAGGTAGCATCAGTGCATAGACCAAAGAGGCTCCGGGTTCACATTCAGGATTATTTCAGACACAGAAGCAAAGGAGAAGAGAGTCCATGGGAAAAGATGGGAGTGAAGTGAGTCAGAGTGTTGAAGGGGCCTTGAAAACAGTTTATTCCAGCCCCTGCTCAGTGTAGGCTCTGCAGTGCTGGATGCGGCTACAGAATCCCTTTATGGTAGCTGTCCAGCTTCTCTCAGCGCATTCTGTTTTGCTGCCAAACGGCTCTCACTGGTAAGTTTCTCTAAATGTTTAACCAAAATCTGCTTCCCTGTAATGAGGACATATTAGTCATAGCCTTTCCCTCCAGAACGGCAGAAAATAACCATTCCTTCACTTGTCGATTCTCTATGCTTAAGGTACCAAACTCTTTCTTCTGTTCTGCATAGGACTTGCCTTCCCACTCTTCACTATCCTGGCTGCTCTTCTCTAGAGGTCCCCCAGTTGGATGATGTCCTCCTTAAAATGTCATGCCCGATCTGGACACAGTACTGTACTTCAGATGTTGCCTGATCAATGGTGGAGCAGAAAGCTTGTTTCCTGAGACTTACATGCTGTGCTTTGCTAATGCAGCCTAGGATTACATTGTAGGTTTTTTTTAAGCCACTGTATTGGACTCCTGACCCATGGTCAGCTTGTGATCCACTCACACAGTTGGGTTTTCTCTACAAGCATTCTTGCCGAGTCAGATCACTCCCATCTTTTGCTTGTGACAAACGCAACATCTCCGAAGCCCCCAGCAGATTTCTTGGGGCTGAGGGGGCAATTTTGCCGTAACATGAGGAACCCTTAACACCCCGACCCATTTTTGTGAGATAAGCATTTGTGGATATGGGGTGTGGACAGTGTTCCCTCTAATTGTCATCCTTGCTGCGTGGGAGCCTCAACCGTCTGCAAGCAGGGGGCGGAGTTTCATCCAAACCCGGAAGTAATCAGGCATTGACCCCCGGCTGCTCGACTGCTCCTGCGGGGCACTCGTGGAGCTCTTCTTCACGCCCCTTAGAGGGAATGTTGGTTGTGGACACAAAAACAGCCCTCGGAAAGGTCCACCAAGAGGTGTCCTACGGAGATGGCCCAGCCCCACAGAAGTAGCCAAGACAACAAATTAAACAGAGAAGGATCTAAAAAATTAGCCATGATAGATTCCATAGTCACATAAAAACCTTAAACCATTAATAGTGCAGTTCTGTTTGTGTTTTCTCAGATTAAAGCAGCACCCTGTTCAATAGAGCCTATACTCAAGTGAGTAATATTTGTTTGTTTGTGTGTGTGTGTTTGTTTTTATTTATAAGTCACCTTTCTCTCCATAAGGGGACCCAAGATGGCTCACGATATTAAAAGAATGTAATTCAAAACATAATAAGCTAGACATTAAAAAACAATTAAGCTATACACCAATTAAAATACAACGGAATAATTAAAAGCAGGTAAACATTAAAAACTATCTTAACTTTTAAAGGGCATTCAGGGACTCAATCATGACTGTTTAAAGCCTGCCTCAAAAGATGGGTCTTCTGGTATTGGTGGAAGGACAAAAGAGGGGGGGGGGCAGCCTCATCTCTCAAGGGAGAGCTTTCCATAACCTGAGAACTGCCCCATCAGCCATGCCTGCCCTGGTCATACATAGGACCGAGAGAGGGGCCTATTTCCTCCTCTGATGATCTTAAATGGCAAGAAGGCTCATATGGAGAGATACGGTCTTTCACATAAAGGGAATCCAGAGAAACAACTAGAGCTTGAGTAGGAAAGGAAAGGGGGTGCTAAATGGGTAGGTTCATGGAAGAATGGGAATAAAAAGCCCTCTGCACATGATCAGCCCAGGTCTCTGGCATGAGCCAACTATAACTCTGCTTTGTCAGTTTGTAGGTTAGTGGGGAAGGGAGAGAAACGTGACCAAAAAAAACACAGTTCACAACTGGGAAAAATTAATTTTTTGCTCTACAGCTAATGATGTAGTGGTAGTAGAGATCGCAGAGCTGAACTTCCAGGACTTTGTTGGTAGCATGGACTAGGACATTGTCTCCCACCTACCCCACCAGTTCACAACTGGGAAAAATTCATTTTTTGCTCTACAGATAATGATGTAGTGGTACTAGAGATCACAGAGCTGAACTTCCAGGACTTTGTTAGTAGCATGGACTAGGACATTGTCTCCCACCCCCATGGCTTACGTATTTCTATAGAGCTTATTTCCTGTTGTCACGGGATTTGAGAGAGAAACAGATTTTTCCAGGAACAGTGTATTGTTACGAGTTCTTCCTGTTGTAATGCAGATTCTCAGAGGTTGACTTGGTCTTGATTTGCCTGCTGCCATATTGATTCCGTCTTAAGGCAAACCCTGGAGTTTTATAGGTGCGACATAGATAGAATTGGTTAGCCATTCCCTTCTTCATGGCACAAGCTGACTCTTTTCCTAGGAGCCACAGAGGGGAATTGAACTCTGAAACCCTGGCTCTGCCACCAGGTGCCCCAGCTCAGTTGATCTATCCAGCCAACTTTAAGAACCATTAGCTTTACAGAAGTCTTGCTCCTCATTTGTTGATAAGGCAGTCTGTGTTGTTAGATTCGCTGGCAGAGGGCCTGTTATGAAAGGCACCTACAATTTCAGTGTTACTAAAACACGTTGTGGTGGTGGTGGTGGTGGTGGTGGTGTGCCTTTAATTTATAGCAGCCTTAATAGGGCTTTCTGTGAGTTAGCTGTCGATATACTGTAGATGTTGGTATCTATTTATACTTGACTCTTACTTAGTCTTTTGTTCTATTTTCCATCTTGATCAATACTAACACTGTCTATTTAATTCATGGTTTTAATTGTTTTATGAATAATTTTATTGTGAGCCGCCCTGAGTAGACATAGTCTAGAAGGGCGGGATAAAAATCTAATAAATAAATAAATAAAACACAGTATGTCTTAAATACAGAGCTTTTAACATATACTGTATAGAGAGGTGTGTAGTTCTGAATTATATTTCCAGTTTCTTCATCAGGCTCCGTCTTCACCCACCACTGAAATTCCAAAAGATTACTCTTAAGGAAATGTCACCCTGAACATAAGCAAAAGGGGTCCTCTCACTTCTACTTTAAATGACTGCA